GCGGTCGCGGGAAGATGCATTTCGGTCACGTTTCGTTTAACGTCACCTGTCATCCGATCGCCTACAAGAATCTTAGCTGTGAATGTGCGACGAAGTTGCGCCACGCTCGTGAGTACGGTTGCAATATATATATATGTTATTTTATATATATGCATCAATAATTTACTAAATAAAATGTATGTAAAAGACAGAACAGTGTAATTAAAATAATTATCTTCATTTGTATTCATATGTAAATAATATGATATGTTTAGGAAGAAATTATTTCAACAAAATTGAAATAACTAATATCATATTTATTTTATTATTATTTTTCCTCTCAAAAAAAAAAAACTTTGACACGTTTATTGAAATGGGCCTGAGTAGGTCGATAATTCAGATCATTTCTATAGTTCAGCGTCGCATTTTTCATGACAGTGCCGCTGTCGGAATATCGCGGAATTAAAATACTGTTTAGTTTCATGGCTTCACGTCAATTTCACTCGTAATATACAAACGAAATTTTCGGATACACCTTTCTCTTATACTAAAACTCCTACCGCGTTTCTAAAAGGATAGGATTCTTCATTTAGGTTTTTCGCAATTCGCCAGCTACTTTTTATGAACGTGCAAGATCTAAAACTCTTATATGCAACACATATTGTGATGTGTTGACTACAGAAGCCGATAACGAAACTGTAAGTCTTTTATTTTCTTTCGTTTTTCGTATTCAAATGTAGCTGGCGAATTGCATTGTTGTCGATACTTTAATTGTGGAGAAGGATTTTTCAATCCATAAACACAGTTACGAGAAAGGTGTTTTTAATATTTAATGATAAAAACAGGACACTCCAGCATCCCCTTAAGCCTATTATCAAACCGCTACGACAGCCCCGGTGTGCGCGCGATAAAGAGACAGTCACGCGACGATGACGCGTCTGCCTCCAAGCGGGAGAGGAAGGACGAAGAAGAGGAGGAGGAGGAGGAAGAGGGAGAGAAAGCGAGTGAGACGTTCGAGTGTTCCGCGACCGCGCGTAAATCCGATGATCGCACGATCGTGTACAACCGATAATCTCCGCGTACGATGACCGTACCGACGAGAGAATTTGGAGAACGTTTTGGATACAATGAACGAGTCGCTAGCAACAAAGGTTCAAAATCGGTTGCAAATGTCGGAAGATCGAGAGGCATTGCAAGCCGGCTTGGGCCCACTAGGTCAAAAGTACGTCGAGGCTGTCCTGAGGGGAGCGCGAAATAAATAGAAGATATAGATTATATCTACGGCGTTTACCTACACAAGGGTGGAATGATGTTTGGCAATAAACGTTTCGACATGGATGATGCGGATAACATAATCGACGACGTACGATACGCCGGTACACCTGGTCTTTACAAATTAATTTTCAAGAGAATTCCCGACGATCTCCTCTACACGAAATACGATATGAACAAGTACAAGAGCATGCTGCTGGCGACGAACACAAGCGCACAAATACAAGCATCATTCACAGGGCTGATTATTGAGCAACAGGGGATATAAGTACAAATACGTAATTGCGCCGTTGATGTTGATCACACTCAAGAAATAGAAAAAGAAATCTGGAAAGAGATTACATCACGCAATGACATTGAACGACAATGCGATCGTGCACTGGGACGATCCTAACAAGGATTATCTACGATTGCTCGACATTCCGCACCGAGCAACGCTCACGATAATGAGATGTAGTCGATTATCGAGGAACTTCGCGAAGCCAATCTTATTATAAATTAAATCGCGTATCGACGAAACGAGTTTGTCGAGTGGCGTCAGCGAGAAAAAAAGTACTTTTGCCCTTTGTATTGCACACTCAACGGCAATTACAAGTGGATCGACGAGCTGCCGCGTCTCGTATCAGATTACAACGCGCGCAAGCATCGCACTATCGGCATGCGGCCCGCCGACATAACTCCCGCGATCGCCGAAAAACTCTTGGACATGGTGTACAGCATGATAAAAATCGCTGGTCCAGCAAAAGTGGGCGATTCGGTACGCATGAACAAGTACAAGACGATTTTTGAGAAGATTTACACGCCAAATTGAACAACCGAGGTGTTTAAGATCTTTAAGGTGCAGCGTACCAATCCCGTAACCTATCTACTCGAGGATTATCGCGGAAAATCCGTCGCTGATGCGTTCTACGAACACGAGTTGCATCGCGCTATTCATCCGGACGTGTATCTCGTGGAGAAAATATTGCGCAGGAAGAGAGATAAAATATACGTCAAGTGTCTGGGATTCGATGGATCGCACAATTCATGGATGCACAAAAACCATGTCATTTGATAAAATTTTGATTCGTACATTTTTTCTACATATAAAAATATATCAATATAAGTATATAAACGTATTTTTTTTTATTATTCCCCATTCATTATCATCTTTGTTTTGGAGTATACAAAATATATAATTATTTGTAACAACTTATGTATGGAGCAGAATACTTATATATAATACTATTATATATAATACATAATATTAGGTGTACAAATAAGTTTCCGCCGTTTTTAATAAAAAATTAAGCATTTATTGTGAAAGAACGATACATAATGTTTTATTGATGTAAGACAAAATGTAAGTGCAAATTCTTTTTGCGTTTGGCACAAATCTTCATTCAATAATGCTTCCAATTCCGCGTCTTCGTACACTTTCGACCTTCTGCTACGTTTATCTTCGACGTCAAATTCACCGTTCTTAAATTTTTGAAACCATTCACGACAACTTCTCTCACTTAAGGCAGCCTCACCATATGCTTCTACAAGCAAACGATGAGCCTCAGCTGCAGATTTCTTCAAATTAAAAAAATAAATCAAAAGTTCCCGCAAATGACGCTTATTCGGCTCAAAATTCGGCATTTTCGCACAAAAAAAAATATATGATGCTGATACAAAATCGCTAGTATTTCCAAGTTATGTTGTTGACAGATGTCCAATCTTACGATATAATGTTTTACATCAGGCAATTTTAATCATAGCTTGCTAGTGGCGCCGTCTTTTGTCAAACGGCGGAATACTTATTTGTACACCTAATAATAATATTTATATACATTTAAAAAACATACTCATAAATGATAAACACATGAGACACATAAAGTATAAATTAGAATACTAGTATGTTCGAGATACAGCTAACACAGTTTTTGCAGATTTAGCGTACGTGCGACATGCGGATCGGAAGCTTCTAGAAAAGCTTCTAGAAGGATTCTAGAAGGATTCCAAACGTTTTTAGAGGTTTCCAAAACATAAACTTAGCCATCACCTCGTCAATAAAGTCGGAAAACATAAGCTAAGCCACATGTTGTACGTACACAGATCTCAACCGTTATAACGGAGATCTAACTCAGATCGGTCGCAGCGCACGCGCGCTCGCATGAAGCAAAACGCGTACATCCCAATCAAGATTCCAGATTTAGCGGACGCGCATGGTAATAGCGTACCGCTTGGCCATCGCGCTCGACATTGCCAATCGCTGCCCGAAACAGAGGGTCACCTCAAATTTTTCAATTTTGCGAGAATCTCATTGGCGAATGCAAGGAGAAGCTTTTGTTCTTCAAAGAGGACAAATCGAGAAGCAATGCTTCTTCTTTTTCTTCGCTGTTCTCGATTAGAAACGCTTCGCTACAAGTGCAACTGCCTAGCAGACGCTCCACCGTCAGAAAATCGCCGCGTTCGATACGCGATAGAGAATTCGCGTAAATCGAACTTCAGCTGAAACGCCGTATTACTCAAAATTTTCTCGCTATCGTTCTCGCTCTAACTCGCTCTCGTATAAAGAGTATATAATACGTATATAAATATTAAAAATATACGATATGCATTATATATTAGGTGTAGTAAAAAAGAAATCCATTATTTTTCCAATAGATGGCTTTAGTAATCTGTATCACGCGTAGACCAGATATAGATTACTAAAGCAATCCATTGGAAAAATAATGGATTTCTTTTTACTAGACCTAATATATAAAATATTGTACAATAATCGTAATACATAAAACATACTAATAATACTTGTATAAATGTAAAAGTATAAATTACAATAGTAATACATAATAGCAACATATACTACATATAATACATATAATACATATAATCCAAAGGTATCCGCCAATGCCCTCACGATAACGTCTTCATCGAGTCCGGTACGACGTATCGTATGTCGTCGTATGGACTCAGAACGATTTTCGATTTGGATATTGTGTACACCTCGTGTAATTTAGATCGTATACATACGATTAACGGCGAGTCATTTTAATCTCTTCGTTTAAACACCGCGGATAATCGTCGAACGTTATCGTTCGCGCTACGACGTTATTCTTTATGCCTTTCGCCTTTTTCATGTCCTTCTGCCATCCATTCTCATCGCGTACATCTTCGCTCTGAATCCAACAAATTCGGTCATTAATACATCATTGTTCTCGTTCTTCATCAGGCCGGATACGTTTTTATTCGCGAGAAGCATACCGTACACGTTGTCTGTCGGATAATCATTCCTGTCGAATCTAACGATATCGCGTTTCATAATCTTGTAAACATCGTCGCATTCTATATAGTACATGATACTATCCGTGTCGGTGTACATGATCTTGCATTTGTCGCGATAAATCGGTGACATGTACTCGTGGTGAAATTCGTACAAGCAGACTTTCGATATGTCGAGTATGCACATAC